GTGTCTGAGGCAATCATCAAATATCCTAAAACTTTTAGTTTTTGCTTTACTTAAGGTAAATCCCTGATCTATTTTGTAATCAACAAATGCTTTGTTCTTAATGAGGAACAGAAGAAAAATAGTGAGAACGATTAGGAGTTCAACTTAGCATGAACGTACTGCTCCTTTGTTGTTCAAATGCCAACAGATGCCATTTAGCTGGAAGAGGTGGGAACTTAAGAAGAATGGAACACAAGATAGAGAGATGTGTATGCAGTAATTTTTAAGATAAAAAATTGAAAGAAAAGAATGAAAATGAAGCACAGAGACGACCTGCTAGCATGAATCAAGCGCTACTTTATTCCTAAACTTCTGCAACTCAATGATTCTAATGACAATTTAATCCCGCAACATACTAGTAACACTTATTTCAGCAATATAATCTTTTGCACAAATGAAAAAATATCACATGCCTACTGTCGCTCATAAACTAGTGATACTCATATATTCTTTGAGTTGGCATTATAGTGTGCACTAACCTTCTATTGACAGTCTGCAAACTAACTTTTAGTAATACATCCACTAAGAAGGTTTAGAACCTAAATACGCAAAACCTATATTCACCGATATTTCCATTTAAAAACATGTCAAGTGGAAGCATCGACAATGTTCCGGACATCTCAATGGGGATGGAGAAAGGGCTAAAGTGAGCAGGCAAAACAACTCACTCAACCCCTTGATGAAAAACAGATTGACTCAATTATCTTTTTTGATACAGACTGATCCCACATAGCTTAACTCTAAAATGTAAAGAGAAACTGGCAGTGTAAATTCAACAGCCCTTAACTCAATCATAATCACTTCAAGAACAGCCTTAACTTTATAATGATAAGGATCAAGAACAGCTTTGAAGGTTAATTACTTGTCCACCCAATTGAAAAGGGAACTTGCAAGGTGAAAAAAGACCTCGCTTGTGGTATCACAATGCACAAATGGACCACAACTTTACTTCAACTCTTAACATCATAATTTGATAACCACTGTCTTTATCCAAAACTAGTTGTTGGTGGCTATATGAACTGAAATCCTTTATGCCAGTTATGTTCTATTCAGACTTATATGATTCCATTACCAAGTAATTAGTCATTTACGGCAAAGCAGAAGTTCTCTAAAACTAGAGGCAACAATACCAACTAAAAGTAGAAACGTCTTACTCATCCCCAAATAGATGTACAATGGTACAAGTTCCTAACCAAACTACAAAGACTCCTAACAAGCACCATACCTACAGCAAAAGTTGACCAACACCTTATGTCGATACCACTCCTCGAAACTACAAGCACACTGCATAGAAAAAGAATTGAGCCGAATAAAGATAACCCCTTTACCACACTCTCTCCCTTACTCTTGCTTTAATAGCTCTTTTGCACCACCAACACCACAGGGTGGTACCACTCCCCAAAACTAAAAGCAGTCACACACACTATATAGAACAAGAATTGAGCCAAATAAAGATAACCCTTTATCACACTCTCTTTCTCTTGCTTTAATAGCTCTTTGCACACCAAGACCACAAGTCGATACTACTCCTCAAAACTACAGATACTATATAGAACAAGAATTTAGCTAAATAGATAAAATCCATTTTAACACACACACTCCCTCTCTCTTTTGCCAACACCACAAGTTGATACCACTCCTCAACTACAAGCAAACTACATAAAACAAGAATCGATCCAAATAAAGATAACCCCTGTACCACAATCTCTTTTGCTTCGATAGCTCTTTGCACCACAAACATCATAAGTCAATACTACTCCTCTAAAACTATATGCACACTATACAGAACAAGAATTGAGCCAAATAAAGATAACCCCTTTACCACTCTCTGTCACTTTCTCTTGCTGTAATAGCCCTTTGCACCACCAACACCACAAGTTGATACCACTCCTCAAAACTACAAGCACACTACATAGAACCAGAATTGAGCAAATTAAAGATAACCCCTCACACTACCTCTCTTTCTCTTGCTTGAATAATTCTTTGCACCACCAACACCACAAGTTGATACCACTCGTCAAAACTACAAGCACAATAATAGAACAAGAATAGAGCAAATAAAGATAACCCCTTTTACCACACTCTCTTGTTTTAATAGCTCTTTACAACACCAACACGACAAGTTGACACCACTCCTCAAAACTATGAACACACTATATAGAACAAGAATTTCGCCAAATAAAGATAACCCCTTTACCACACTCTCTCTCTCTCTTTCTCTTGCTTTTCATAGCTTTTTCTGCACCAGCAACCCCACAAGTTGATACCACTTCTCAAAACTACAAGCACACTATATAGAACAAGAATTTAGCCAAATAAAGATAACCCCTTTATCACATTAACAACAAATATGAAGAAAAAAGTATAGAACAAGAATTGAACCAAATAAAGACAACCCCTTTACAGCTCTCTCCCTCTCTTGCTCTAATAGCTCTTGGCATCAAAAACCAATTTTTCTCCTCAAAACTACAAACACACTACATAGAACAAGAATTGAGCCAAATAAAGACAACCCCTTTACAGCTCTCTCCCTCTCTTGCTCTAATAGCTCTTTGCACCACAAACACCACAACTCAATTCTACTCCTCAAAACTATAAACACACTACATAGAACAAGACTTTAACCAAATAAAGATAACCCCTTTATCAAATTAACAACAAATATGAAAAACAACAAAACATTGTTGCAAAAAACAAAGAAGTGAAAGTGAGTTTTGCAGGTTTTACTTGTATTGATTGGAAAGAGTCCACATGTAGGGATTGATCCATGTCAGTGCAGAGAAAGCAGCAGACCCGATCCATATATTCACGAACCGTTCCGGGTCGGCATGTGGCACTCCCGGGTCACCCCTGTATGCGTTTCCAAAGTACTTCTCCATTTTCTGCTTCTTCTTCTTCTCAAACTCTAGAAGTTTTCTCTATTAGCTTATCCCAATATTTTGTGAGCCAAAGAAAGAATTATATTTATGTATGTGCTCTTTTAACTTTTTGGAGTTTCACATTTTACCCCCTTGAACTTCTTGTACTATCGCGTATCACATTATAGTCTGGTTAAATTTAAATGATGATAAAATATTTTTTTAATAATGAAATTTCATATGTAGAATTCAAACTCGAGACCTCCTACGTGTCTTAAATGAAAGTGTCCTCGTATCTAGGGTTCGAACTAACACATTAAAAATAAAATGCTTCTACAAAAATATTTTCATATCAGAATTCGAAATCTCATATTAGATATGAAAGTATACTTGTCATTTTATCATAAATTTTATTGAATGTTTGTTAGTAATGTTCTATTTACGATTGTTATTAAATATTAACCATAACGGGTCATGTTACATTGAGTAAACTATAAAAAGATATATACCTTTATTTTTTTCTGTGAGAATCATATTTTAACTGTCTATTATTCTATTCAATTCAAACTATTGATTTTTCACGAATTTTATACCTCAATTGTGAAATTTACTTTGTAATAACACATATCTCGATTTTGGGCTAGTTTACAAATGCTTGTTGTCTATTCAGAATAAATCAATTCAACATTAAAATATATTTATATAAATAGTGATAGTTTAAATATATAAAGAAAAATAATGGACCGTTTAAAATATGAAACTAATTAGGAAAAAAACTAATTTGTTTATATGTATTTTTGGATTATTAATTATATTGCATTAGAAGAAAGAATGATATACAAAAGGAACTTAATTGGCTCTAAATATAAAAGAAAAAACATCAATGGGAAATTATGCAAATATAGAATAGTTAACAAATCAACTACTTGAATTATGTATAAAGTTCACATATTCATATATGTAAAATATTTCCTCTTAAATTTGTAGTTTTGTAATCTATATATATATATATAATATGATGTCTACAACTTCTTCTCTAACAATATGGCAAAATAAATCAGTCAAAATTGATGATATAAATAGATATAAAATTTTCACTTGATATTTGTTTGAAAGAAAATGCATTTGGATGTTAAATTGGTTATTATCTAAGTTATGTTTGAACTTAAAAAGCTTTTAGTAATAATAATATATTTAGAGTCTGTTTGGCTCAGCTTAAAAGCTGGTCAAACTGACTTAAAAGGTGATTTTTGACTTATTTAGCTGTTTGGCAATATTCAAAATAACTTATTTTAAATTAAAAAAAAATTTATTTTAAGCCAAAAGTTAAAAGCTGGGGTAGAAGTGTTTTTTTTTAGCTTATAAGCTGTTTTAAGTTGACCACATTTTTATCTTTTTGCTCTTAATATACAATCTCCAAATTATCCATATAACCCTAACATTTCTTTCTTCCATTTTTCCCTTTTCACGTTTGATATAACAACTTCAGCACTTTTATTCAAACGCATAATTGCTTATTTTTAAAATAAGTTTCAGCACTTTTAAAAGTACTTTTTTAAAGCTGCTTTTATTAAGCCCATCCAAACGGGAGTGTAATCTCATAAGTAACATTGGAAGAGAACAACGTATACACAATTTTATTCTATTAATTACTTTCGTTGAACTTTCGGCTCAACTAAAGCATAACAAAATCAAAAATGAAAAATAAATATATTAATAAACAATATGCTAAAAACAACATAAATAATAAATATTATGTAGATCGAAACAAAAAATAATAATAATAATATATCGAACAACAGATAATAAAATTGTAATATAACGGTCATATTAACAAAAGAAAACTAGATAACGTTCTAACTGCCTACTAAAATTTTTACCATAATACTCAACCTCCGTGTCTCCCGATCAAGAGTCATTTCCATCGATAAACTAAACTCCAGATAAATCATGTTTTGTCTGATCACTTATTTAAACACACTTTCGAAAAAAAATTTAAAATAAAAGCTATTTGGGTCAGATGTGAATTTTCTAAACTATATGGGCTTATATGCTATTATTAGAATGTAATTTTTTCTATAAAAAAAAGGTCCCGCTCCGGTATTCGATCCTCCACTCTCTCGATCTAAAAATCCCTTTCTTGGTGTTTGGTGTTTACCGTTTAGGGTTTATCAAAAAATTCTGCATAAACCCTTCTCAGTTCTCTCAATTTTGAAGCAATTTCAATTTATAAATCAAGAAGTCGGTACCCCAAGTTGAATTAGTCTCAAAAATCAGCTGTAAGTACTCATTTTCATACATTTTGGTTGTATATTTGGGGCATTTGGTGTTGTAGTTTTTCTTGTTAATGTAGTCTAATAGTTAAGGTTTTATGAATTATCAAGTGGGGTTGAGGAATCTTGAGGTGGGTTTTTGGTTTTGTTGAAGAAGGTGGTTGAGTTTTGGGTTCTGGGGTTCGCATTTTAAATCACAAAGTTGTGATTTTTGTTTTAATTTTGGGAAGAGCAAGGAGTTTACAAAGTGGGGTGGAGGAATATTGATGTTTGTATTTGATTTTGTTGAAGAATTTGGTTGAGTTTGGGTTCTGAGTTTCACACTTTGTGTTACAAAGTTGTGATTTTAGTTATGTTTTGGGAAAAGAGAGGAGTTTACCAAGTGGGGTGGAGGAATATTGAGGTTTGTATTTGATTTTGTTGAAGATTTTGGCTGAGTTTTGGGTTCTGGGGTTCACATTTTGTGTCACAAAGTTGTGATTTTTTTTGTTTCTAGGAAAAGACACGAGTTTTACCAAGTAGGGCGGAGGAATATTGAGATTTGTATTTGATTTAGTTGAAGAATTTGGTTGAGTTTTGGGTTCTGGGGTTTGCATTTTACATCGCCCAAGTTGTGATTTTGGGAAAAGACCTGAGTTTACGAAGTGGTTGGAGGAATATTGAGGTTTTTATTTGATTTTGTTGAAGATTTTGGGTTCTGGGGTTGTCATTTTACATCACCAAGTTGTGATTTTTTTTTTTCATTTTGGGAAAAGCCAGAGTAGTTTAGTAATTCATGTCTACTTGTATTTGGGGCAATTGGGGTTGTTCTTTACTCCTTAATGCAGCTTAAATGCATAGGGTGTTCATGAATTGCAAATGAGTGTGGGGATCTTGAACTGCATATTTGAGTTGTTGAGTTCTTTGTAATGTTACCAAGTTGTGAACTTTTCCTTTTAAAGGCACAAGTTTGAGCTGAGTGGTGAGGTTTTTGAGTAAAAGAAGCTATAAATCTTTTAGGAACTTGAATATGATCGTTGGAGGTAATGCCGAGGATAAAAGGGAGAAAGAGAGCACTGTTGATAATACTAGGGAAGAAAGAATTGGTACAGACGATTTTGGGCGAGCAGTATCGAGGACTGCGGTGGCACAGATATGTGAAAGTATTGGGTTTGAGATCTTCAATGAATCTGCTCTTGAATCGCTTGCAGACATTGCAATTAAGTATATACTTGACCTAGGGAAGACTGCTAATAGTAAAGCTAATATAGCTGGAAGAACACAGTGCAATGTGTTTGATATTATTCAAGGATTAGAGGATATGTGTGCCTCCACTGGTTTTCTGCGAGCATCGGAAGTGAACCGCTGTGGGTTAAGTTCTGGTATTGTTAGCGAGATGGTTGAGTATGTGGAATCTGCTGAAGAGATACCATTTTCTCAACCTCTTCCACATTTTCCTGTGGTAAAACAACCCAATTTGATACCCAGTTTTTTACAAATTGGTGAAACACCACCATTTAAGCACATACCTCCATGGTTGCCTGCATTTCCTGATCCGCATACTTATGTAAGGACGCCCACGTGGAATGAGAGGGCATCAGATCCTCGAGCTGATAAAATTGAATTAGCAAGACAGCGAAGGAAGGCAGAAAGATCTTTATTAAATTTACAACAGCGATTGGTGTGCAATGGTTCAGCAGTGGCATCAACTTCTAGGCAGCCAGATGATGTTGGTATCACTTCAAGTGCTAGTAAAAGTGAAAACCCATTTCTTGCAAAACCTTTTCAAGCTGGTGAGAAAGACGTGGACCCAGTGGCTCTTCCAACTAAACTTTCTAGTGAGGTAGATGATAAAAACCACGTTTCTTTGCTGGAAACGTTCTCCCCAGCAATTCAGGCAATGAAGGATGGGCTTTCTGAAACAGTAGATGGTACAGAGAAAACACTTCCGGACAAGAGGCCTGCTGTCTGTTTAGAGTTCAGACCTGGAAAGAAGGCCTTAGGCGATTCTTTGGATCTAAGGCTTTGGAAAAAGGGTTCAAGAAACGCTTCCTTGTTCCGGCGGGATGAAGACAGAGATGACAAGAAGAGGAGAGCTGAGTTAATACTGAGACAATCTAGGGAAAATCAGCAGGAGTTAACCCAGTTGTAAATTAGTTGGTTAGTTTGATGGGGTAGTTCTGTACCCTTTTCAAAACAGCAGCAATTGATTAGGTTTAGATAAAAGTCAGTCATACTGTAATTCTTCTGTGGATGTCACAGAGTCTGTTTGGATGTCGAGATGTAGTAACGTAGAGCATTTTTTTGAGGTTAGTCATTGTTCATTCTCCAATGAATCTATTTCAGTGAGAATCTTTTTTCCTTCTATATACTCACTCCTCTTGCTCACTCCCCTCCCAACCCCCGAGAAGAACACACACGCTCGCAGAAAAAAAGATTACACAGAAGAAAAGGGGGAAACAGAGTAGGAACACATGTTTTTGAATAACAATGGTGTTGGTCATGTATGTATTTCATTATTCAGTTTTTAATGCAGAAGTTTGGAAGTGGGGTTTTGATGGATGAAGCATGCAAGTGATGAGAAATGTCAAGCCTAGTTGTTTTGTTTTCTCTTGACATTTTTGTTTTCATCATTTCATACAAATTGGTAGTTGTTATTTGTGAGTGTGGTACTCAGGGACCAACAATAGACTCAAAACTATGTGTGTGTCTTACATGGCCATGACTATAAAATGTGTAAAGGATTTTCTATGTTTCAACATTTTGTTGTCAACTTGTTATCAATGTCTTGCTGCTTCATTGTCCAGACTAGCAGTTTTTGGAGTTCTCTTGGGTTCTTGTGGTGTTTTAACTTGTTTCATTCATAGTGTAAAGGTATGTTTTAAGGTTATTTATGAAACTCAAGGCATTCATTTTATCCATAGGCTATTGTAATTTGTATACAAGAAAAAAATTAGTTTATATGGATTTTTTTATATGATAAAATTGGGGAGAAACAGATTGTTTCCTTCATTTAACCAAAATAATGCGATAAATATCCTGCGTACATACCACTCTCCTCAGATCCCACTTGCGGGTCATACATGTCCTACGTTAGAGATGTCTAAACAGAAATTTCACAGCGAAAGATCGTTTTCAAACAACAGGTTCATGTCTGCATAGATAGAGAATAAATGCTAATAGACACTATGAGATATGTTCTGAAAATTCGAGTCTTTAACATACAAAACTAAAATTTAAGCAAGCAAAAATGAAAATGTGCAAACTGAGTGTCTTTTTTTCTGTCTGCTCTCTAACAATCAACGATCCACAGGTCGACTAGTGCTGCTCAAGTAATTGAATTAGTGTAATAGGAGAACTGTCTAAAACTATCCTCTCCAAGAACAGTCGCGAAAGATGGGTCTGGTCTGGAGGGTGGCCATCACTTCAACTTCAAATCGGTTTCCAGAGGAAATATTTTCCCGCGGTGATTAAAGATCATGAAATCCAGATTGGCAGGCAAAGCGACCACCCTGCATTGTAGAGATACGTAAGATACCCAAAAAAGGACATTGCATATACATCAAGAGCAAATGAACCGACTTCTGCTACAAATTCTCACTTGGCTATACATGAACTTAAAACAGTAGGACTACGTATGTGCTTTCACACAATTTTTTCTTTAAAATACTTGAAAGCAGGAATACTTTTCTACTTTAGTAAATGCCCTAAAAGATAATCTAAACTGTTACCTAGAATTTGAGGGACGGTGATGTAACTCTCAAAACAGGTGAGACAAGGAAAAACACAAAAGCTTTCACTGAAGTTGTTATTCAGCACTGAAGTAAAATATTAGATGCCCTACAACCACAAAGACGCTGAACAAATGGTACCCATAACCCAAAGCCAACCCCACGATTCCAATTTCAAATACCAAGGTGACCAGACATTCCTCTGCCCCCCTCCGCTCTACTTTTCTTTCCTTTCAGCTACTGCAGAGAGCAAAATTATCCCCAAATCATGTAATGGTTGATCCCCATTATAGGGTCTTAGGAGGTAGAAATAGGTATAGTGTCAAATACAAGTCATAACAGAACTCCTTTTCATTCTACCATTGTTTCTTTGGCGGCAAATACAGGTTTACTTTAGCAAAATAGTGAAACAAACCCATTACCTCCATTACACAAAATTTAACCAATTCAGCCGTTTCGTCTAGTACTAGCTTCTGCATTGAGGGATTACTAACAATGAAACACTTGGACGTTATCATCCCAAAATACCAAGTTAATATCGAACTATATTTTCTAACTATAAACTATGCTTCCCATGATCTCTCTGCGTCAAGTTTTTCTTCTATATATTGCTTACCCAAAATCACTAAGAAGAAACCTACAAATTCTAGTCTTTTGTTGATTCACTAGCAAGAAATTATCATCGTGACAAAGAAAAACAACCATCTGGTCATCTCCACTGGGTGTTATGGAGTATAAGCGACGGTTTACATGCAGTGTACGGATATTGATAAAGAAGTTAGTTATAACTCCTACTACATCAGCATAATGGTGACAGAAAGGATTCTGGTAGTTTGAGGAGAGAAGGATTAAACAGCTAAACCAAGGACATATTGAGACTCGTCCAAAGAAAAGTCAAAACTAGTGAATATATTAAATAGGAGGAGCGTAAATATCATGTTTCTGGTATCCACGAGAGACTGGGTAAATAAAAAAAGAATCCTAAATAAAAAAGAAAATACATGTCTTTCTAATGAGATGTGATCTGTCGAGGGTTAGATGAACTAAGCTAAGTTGACAGGGAAAAAAGTCGAGGAATCAATAGCAGAAGTCATAATTTGCGGTATTCCTAGGTTAGATATAAGTAGGAACGGGAGAACACATTGACAAACTATGATTCAAAAAATAAAGTTTGTAGATATAGAGAAAAGTAATGGTAGGATTATCAAATGGTAAAGTAAAGAATCAACACCACCAGTTTTTAGTGTCTATATTCAAAACAGAAAGCAAATTTTCTATACTTCAAAACTGGATTAAAAGGAGACAAATACTAAATTTTGGAAAGATATAGGTATGTCCAAGGATAAAAAATGATCAACATATCCTTATTAGGGGAAATCTGATGGGAGAGATCATGGTGTTGACTGTTGACAAAGTATATGGAGATATTGTTGCAGTAACAAAGAGTTACCCGGTATCTCTGTCTGTGGGAGGCAGGTACTCTGTGGAACAGTTAAGATGCGTGTAAACTCGCCCAGGCACCATAACTATACGAACAAAAAATTGATTTGGTACTAGAAATGAAAATGACAATGTTATTTACAGGTTTCCTAACTTATGTTTAGTTTTAGTTAACACTTGCACCTGAAGGGACAAAGGTTGGTCAACAACCAACCAAACTTATACTTCTCTGAACAAAAGGGGAACTGCACTTGATAACATTTAAAAGTAGGTAAAGTCAAATAGACTTCATTTTCTACTAAAAGAAAATGTGCAGGCCACAAATATGAATAGGTCGTCACCGGGAGAAGCTTTAACCACCCAAAAGAGACGGGTGACACCAGATGTGTAGTGGCAGGCACGACAAAAGAAGAAGAGCTGCAAGCACAATGATTCTGTGGTGGATACTAAACAGTCAAACCAAAACACATTTAAAGACAAGTGCTTAAAGAAGGGAGCATCGGAGTTAGAAGCTAATACAGTTATCCAGAGGAAGAAAATGAGAAGTTGCATTGGAAAGTAGCATCTAGCTATATCTAAAAGTCTAAGACATTAACCACAGTAATTCTGACACAGGAATGGTGCAGGGCAAGGATACGTAATAAAATGGAAATTATCAACAACAGAGAAGTCAAGGATAACTTTAAAGATTCACATCCATGACCAAAAGAAACATTAGCTCACTCTAAGCCTTTTGTCCATTGAAGTTGAGGTATCCTTGTAAACGATTGGAAGTGCCATAAAGAAGTCGGAATGGTATAACTCACAAAGCTACGAAATTTTGTTTGCAGTAGGCAACAATAACAAAGAAAGACGCAAAATGAGTAGAGAAAGAGTTTCTTAGTTTTGAATTTTGATACATAAAAATGAAAGTGATATTCAACGTTGTCTGAACTTCAAGAAAAGAATGATAAAGTAGACATTTAGGGATATTACAAGGGTGACAGAGAACATGTTAGACCACAAAGGACGCTATATGCAAGAAAAGTGATGGAAATTTATAGAGGTTATATTTTTGCTAAATCAAATCACAAAATTGATAAAAATATATTGGAAGAGAAGGAGGATTTCCACATAATACTCATTGGCCTGGCGCGACTTCTAAACTAGCCGAGGGGCACTTTGTCCACGAGGTAAGCCTAGCTTTTCATTAACTTAGAGAAAGAAACTGATATAGTGCCAGAAGAACTCCTTTGTGAGTTCTTAAGAAGAACAAAATATATATAACAGTATAACACATGGAAGATATGAGCAAGGGAACATTGACCACTGTGAGATGGTGAGAATAGATCTTCCCATAAAAGTGGATTTACACCAACTATCTATATTCCTACAAGTCCCTAGAAATCCAAAATTTTCTATTACTGCAAAACAAAGAAAAAAAACAATAAAAATACAAGAACCCCAATTAAAAAGAATAAATTAAGTACCTGTTTTCCTCAGATTGAGGATGGATTGACTTGAAATTTCCAGGGGCAGCCATTGCAGCCCACAAGCATAACACTAAACTAACTATCAATTCGATAACAACCTGCACATTACCCAATACTTTAGATCAATCATTACCACATCACAACATACCCACTATAATCCCACAAATGGAGCCAAGGAAGGGTGATGTATGCACAACCTTACCCCTATACTATGAAGGTAGAGAGGTTGTTTCCAATACACCTTCGGCTCAAGCAATCATATCAAAAATCAAACATGTAAAGATAATACCGTAGTGAAGAAGCCATGTTGAAAATAATTAATAAGAGAACAAGTAGCGACAACAAACAACACGATTTAACAACAAAACAATTAAAAATAGAATAATCATTACCACATCACAACAACAACATACCGAGTATAATCCCACAAGCGAGGTCAGACTATTTCCGATAAACCTTAAGCTCGAGTAAACATATCAAAAATAAAGTATGTAAAGGAAATACAATACAACAGCAAATTTACACAATTGAACAACAAAAATTTACTTCTTGATTGAACAACAAAAAAATAAGAAAAGATCAATCACTACCACATCACATACATATAAAAAAAATTCAACTTCTTGTCAACTATAAATAACTCAGCAGATTCAACAATAAAGGTGAAAAATGAAAATTTACATCAATGGGTGGTCCAGAAAACTCCTCCTCAGTAATCTTAAGCAAAGCCCTATCTGAAATTGAACAAAAAAAAAAGAATCTTCAAACTGATGCCGCAAAAAAAAAAAGGTAAAAAAGGGAACAAAAACCTAAGTGGATTACATTGGATTGTGGAATAGGTAGCATGAGATAGAATTAGAACGCCGATGACGCCAACGAGGAAACCGGCACCCATCTTGGTCGGAGAATAGATCGGCGGCCGGTGAAGAAGATTTTTGACGGCGGAGATCAAGTAAAAGTGAGCTAAATCTGCTTTAGCTGGTTGTACTTTGAAGATTTAGCAGCGTAGATCCGTATTTCTATTCGGGTCGGGTACTTACCCGACATTATATTTAGTCCAAAGAATTTCGAGATTCAGATTTTTTTCTATTTGATTCTAATTTTTTCATATATACTTTTTAAATAATAAATTATATTCAAATTCGCGATTAAAATTAAATTGTTCAACAATTGAAATTTTGAACGATATCATATAAATTACGAGAGTAATAAGTAATACATTGAGGGAGGATTCTGTAACTCTTAATTCTTGAAGGGATGTAAATGTATTGTCTCATATTAGAGAGGGACATTAATGCAAATTTCTTCTTAAAACTATATAATAAAAAAAATATATATATATATTGTCTCTACACATTTTATCTTCATTCAACTTGTCACTCTTGTTAGCCATTTCAGGTAAGTAATTTGCTAATTTTTGCATCATTTTTTAGTTGTATTGATATACTTACTATATCAGATACTGTGTTTTCAAAAAAAAATTTGGGGGTACCCCTTGCCAACGAAAGCAAAGATTTTGCTTTTGGGTCGAGCTCGTTGCAGCGGGCTTGCCTAGCGTGGGTTTGTGATTTGCAAGCTATTGCATAGATTTACCCGGTGCGCACCAAAGAATAGCGGCTACAGTTTTTCTTGTTATCGGAAAAAAAAATTGGGGGTAAGAAAGGGGATTCCGGGAAAGGAGAATTTAGATAATCAATCAATTAAACTACTAAGATTCTTCGTAATTTTTGTTTATTGTTCATATGAAAAATTTGATATTTTTCTTGCAGTTTGTAGTTCAAAAGTTTGATTCATAGTGAAACAACAAAAGGATGAGTTATGTTCTGGAATTCTTCTTAGGGTACACTTTACCTAGAATATCAAATTTCCACAATGGTTGTACAAAATTTCATGATTTGCAACAAATTAGACTGCGTTTATCGTATGGGAAATGTTCTGCAGTTCGAAAATGTAAAAAGATTCGATTTTTACGACAAGGTTAGTATGAATTAACTTGCTGTCAAAGAAGTCGAAAATCTTGTAATCCTGTTATAAATGGTGTTGTCAATTTGCTTGTTTTTTTTTTTCAGCTTTAAATTTGGAGCTGATTGATCATGCTGATTTGCTTTCATTTCCGAATGAGGTACGTTGAGTAATTTTTTTTCGTTACGTTTAATGAGAAGGTGTAATACATAAACATACACTCAAACTTAGTCTCAGCTGGCAACTAAGCACATTCTAGACACCTCAACTCGTCTTCACTATGTGACACGGTGATTGTTCATTTGTTAAAGCTTCTTACACTAGAAACTGATGTAGGATTTGATCTGATAGCTAAAATTTCGACCAGCTCGTATGCATATTTAATTGGGAATGTAAAAAAGCATCAGAAACATGAACGTTAACGTGACACATTTATTGTTTTTTCATGTGCCATTCAGTGTGCTGTCTGTTCTTCTTACTCAGACAAGAATCGAATTTTAGGCTGAAGCTTGTGATGGGAGAGGAACAGATATCTTACCTTACGTGCAAACTGTTAGAAACTTCCCAGAGGAGGAGCTAATCGGAAAAGTTGTCATGGTCAGATTGGACTTGACCATCGTACTAAGGGAGCAGAAGAAACAGCAGTCTCCAGCAGCTCGCGTAATTTCAACCATCAAATATCTACACAAAGCTGGGGCAAAATTAGTTCTGTTAAGTAGCTGGAGTTTGAGAGCTGACTCGCGGCTTCTCAAATTGGAATATGTTGCAGGTTTAAAAAGTTCTTACTTTTTACTTATTGTTCATGTTGTTTCTCCCCATCTGTTAACTTGGGCTTAGCTTCCCAGAATACAGTGTTAGAAAGCGCAAAACGCAAATAAAGTGTGAGCCTTGATGAAAAAAAGGCTCAAAGAGAGAGAAAATACAAATATATATGTTCCGTCCAAGACTAATAATTATAAGCATGAATGACAAATATATTATATGAACAAAAAACTTGAAAAATAGATATATGATAAAGTGTAATATTAGTGATTTAGTGTCGCCTCTTCAAAAGAGGCTGCTAATTGGCAAGTAAAAGTATGTCTTAAAACCTTGATCAGGACACTGAACCGCATATTAAGCGACGCGAAGCACTCAACACACTTTGAGCCTCGCTTCATGGCTTAAGTGCATCTTTGAAAACACTGTCAGAGTATGAAAAACCTACCTAGGCACAATATTCTAGGCAATGATGAAGGGCCGGCATACATCTAGTTTTTACTTTAATGTTTTTATGTTCCAACAAAACATGTTTTAAATGGAGTTTAATTGATCTGGATAATGTGTTCTTCAGAACTTTTATCGTCGGAACTTGAACTAAAAGTAATACCAGTGGATCTTGGTTCTGGATTTGAGCAGTCCCTGAGGGAAGACAGACATAAATCTTCCATCCTTCTTCTTGAGAACCTTTCTCAGTTTAAACAGGAGCAAGCCAATTGTTCAGAGTTTGCACGACGCCTATCATCTGGCGTGGATATCTTTGTTAATGAAACATTTTTCCAATCACATAAGATTCTTGCATCAAATGTTGGTATTACTGGCTTCTGCTATGCGTCCATTGCTGGATTTCACTTTGACGAGCAAATGTCTCAACTGAAGAAGATAATCGAGATGAACAAGAGGCCCTATTTTGCAATAGTATGCACCCGTGAATCTAAATCTAAGTATTTTTCAAGTTCTTGATTAAAATGAGAACAGGACTTTTCTGGTTCACATATTGCAAGTGCTAATTTGAGATGCAATGCAGGTCGGAGGTAATCTCGCTGGGAAAGCAGTAGCCTTGCTATTTTTGGCATCTAGATGTGACGGCTTAGTGTTTATTGGCAATGCTGCATTTCAAATAATGCATGCTTTTGGATTACCTGTTCCTATGGAATTGGTGGAACAAGAATCACTAGAGGCAGCCCGTGTGCTAGTTGAGGCTGCAAAGGCAAGAGGAGTACAAATCATATTACCAAAAGACTTTTGGTGCATCAATGATTATTATCCGTCGCGGATGAAGATTTTTCCTGCTAATCGTATCATTGATGGTAAAGTTAAATTCTTAAATCTTCAACCTAGCCCCAAGGTTTGCATTGTTTCATTTGCTAGATTAAGGACTAAATGGACAAGAGATTGCTGAACAATTAAAAAAGTGAAAATATATACTCCCTCCGTTTCAATTAGTTTGTCTGGTTTTGACTTGACACGGAGTTTAAGAAAGTGAAGAAGAGTTTTGAGTCTTGTGTCATAAATAGAGATATGTAGAATGTACCAAAATGCCCTTTAATCTCATGATCTTAAACATGTCATGTGGAAAGTTTAGAATTAAAGAGTTGCACGTAAGGCAAACAAATTGAAATGGATGGAGTAACAAACTTCATTTCCTGGCTATTGGCCCGTCTCAGTCTATTTGCACCATTATTGGACCGTCTCTGTAGTATTTACCATTGGGATGATAGTTCCTAATATATTTAAGGATTTCAAATGTTTTTCCTTAGGATGGAAACCTGTTGATGTTGGACCTAACACATTGGGGGAAATGATCTCCGTGCTTTCGAGATGCAAGGTAATCTCTGAAGTTCCTTCTGCTGAAGATTAGTATTAGAAGTGCTTGCTCAATTTTGAGGTCTCCGTTTGGTGTTCTTTGACTAGTTTGATATGAGTGAATAGAATCTGTCTTGTCATATTGCAATGGTAGGTTTAACCTTTGATTTGCGTCTATGAAATTGGTAATTTCTGTGATCTTATCATTTAATCTATTCTGTGGAAACAATATATGCTCAGAGAAGTATGTTTTCATTGTTTTTTCAGAAAATTTTGTGGATTGGAGCTGTAAAGTTCAGCTCATCACATCAAGAATCTGCTGGAGCATCCAAATTAGCTGCGATGCTTTATAATCTTAGTCAAATGAACTGTGATCTAATTGTGGTTGGCAAACAGGCATGTGAGACGTTTATTGGGAGATCAAGGCACGTTACAGCTGATATGATTGAAAATGCTTCCATTGTCTGGGAGTTTCTGAAAGGGAGAAAGCTTCACGGGCTCTTGGCACTAGATAGAGTAAGCCTTTTCTAACTCAACATGCTGTGTTAAAGAAATTTTAAAATCCTGAAACACATTGTTAACAAGTAACAACCATCCCACTTGTCTTGGATCCAACTTCCTCAAGTTTTCTAGAATGAAAAGGAAATCGTATTAATGGAAAAAAGGAGGTAGATACATGGATAACGACAGAGATTTCATTGAATAAAAAATGATACAAGAATTAATAAGCTCATCAATAACCCCTCCAATTCACATCTTAACTAATGTTTACAACATTGGCCGCGTGTTATGTCAACAACAACAAATTACCAGTGTAATCCCACAGGTGGATTCCGGGGAGGGTGATGTGTGCTCAGTCTTACCCCTACCTTGTGAAGATAGAGAGGTTGTTTCCGATGCCTCTACTTTATGTAATGAGGAAACTATGACTATTCTCATTTTAAGTGGAGCGTACTAGCTGGGGTGGTAGAATCATATATGTTGGGAAATATTTACTTAGAGTAGAGTAATAATACCAGGTTTGGAGTCTTTATTCCTGATAAAAGATTTACTGGCTTGCCTCCACTACGACTTCTTTTCTGTATAACTGCATGACATGCATTGCACGTTTTTCCCCTGTTTCCTGTCATCTAAGTACTTCAATACTCAATTGAAGTGCTGCTAATCATTCACATGGAACTTGACTTTGAACGTGCCAACTAATATACAAAGTATGCTTACCATAGGTGTATGTTAGCTTCAGAACTAATTGAGTGTTTGGTGTTTGTGCAGGCATATCCATTTAAGTTGAATTGGGATGCTTTATATGCCAATACAACCCTACCTCTTGTTGTTGACGTAGGAAGTGGTAAATCTCTCTTTTCCCTGATTCAATCTTTCTATAAATCTATCAGATCATTTGTGTTTGAATGTGTATAGTCATTTGTTACGCCAATAACAACTTCATATTTACAATGAATCCACTAATTTCCCTATCTGGGAGCAATGAATCCAGTGTTTCCCCGGTACTCGTGAAGGAAGCTTACACCCCCTAGTTTCTCTATTCATATATTTACAAATCAGCCGTATAGTTTAAACCAAGCAATGTCTGTGCTAGACTTTCAACTACAAGAACAAGTATACTTCAATCTCAGGCTAGCTGGGGACTTGGGGTTGGTTATATAAATCCTCAATGTTCATTTCACTACATGGAGCTCTATGAAGGCCACCTTTCTCATGTTATCCTCTACGCTTGCTATTTGCACCTTCTATAGGGTGTGACCATTTCTGATCTTATATGACCGCATTCATCTTAAGTCTGCATTTCCTACAACACTCATTTTGCTGATATATTGGGCCTTAGAAGCCCAATTTTTGTTCCTATGAAACATTGTTGGTCTTACAATCATTTCATAGTGAGAGGGAGACAACCACCTTATATTAACAAATAAAACTTTTAGTTATATTTTTCCATTTCCTTAGCTTTAGCTAACATATCAACACGACCACGCTGTTGTGCAGCATTTAAGGACACAATTAGTTCTTACTTCTCACAGATGAAAGCATAAAATTACAGGCAACGGTTTATTTCTGACCAGAATGGCAAAGATGCGGAAGGATTGGAACTTTCTTGGACTGGAGAGAAATGAAAAGGTTTTAGTCTTATGCAGAATGTTTCATCTGCTGCTTCCTGTTTTTTCAAAAAAGAAATCATGTTCTAAGTGTAACAATTTTGACTTTGCGTTTTTCCAGTTGGTAAGACGTTGTCTTGATCATGTTTCTCAATCTGGCATGACAAATGGGTACATGCTGTCCTCCCTACATACTTGTATTATAGAAGCAGATAGTCATGTATTATCTGTTTTCTGATTTTGTGTTTTGTTCCTAGATACTTCATAGCAACGAATGCCACATCAACATTCCGATTCATTGTTTCCAGTTACCCTGGTGATCTTGTGCTTGTGTCAATTCAGGTAGGTAGCATTTTGTTGCTTCTTTTGAATAGAATCTTAGATACATATCGAAATGCCATGGTCAAGACTGGCCATGCATTTGCTTATACGTTAATAACACGAAACAATCAAGTTTGACATATATTTAGTTGCTTTAAGTTTCAAAAAAATAATCTTAACTTTCTTAAACACTGCGTCAAGTCAAAACCAGGCAAACAAATTGAAAGACAGAGAGAGAGAGAGAGTAGTAAAGAGTATAGATGAATAACTTTTTGATGCTTACGGATGTGTTTGGAGATACAATTTGATATGACGATGTAATTATGATTACATCGTTACAACTAATGCAACATTCCTCGCAACTGCAGTGTCCAAATCCAGATTTCAATAGAACAGAACACCGATGGAGGATGGTGCAGAGATCATTAGTTGAAGCAATAGCAGACTTAGTAGCTCCTGATGGGAAGGTATGATAAGTGCAGCTCTCTGGTGCTATGCATTTGCGTCTCGTGTTGAATTGTTATTCTGTGTGATTGATATTCTTCATCAGATAGCCAAAAGTAGCTCGGGCTGATATGTTTAGCGTGAGACGAACAAAAGATCATTTCATGAGAGAAAAGAAGAGTACTAAGTACTAACACAAGTCTGTTGTCTTAAACACAGGTATTTCTCCAATCTGATGTAAAAGAAGTTGCAGTGAGAATGAAAAAAGAGTTTATGAATTATGGCAAGGGCAAGCTCACAGTAATGCACGATTCGGAAGATATCACAAGTCAGCAAGATGGATGGCTGAACGAAAACCCCTTTGGCATTCGATCAGATTGGGAGCAACATGTTATAGAACGTGGCGCTCCTATGTACAGATTACTGCTATTGAAATCTTCATCTTCTGGTTGAGATAGTTACAACAGGGTGGATTATTCAACAAACAAATTCCCCGAGGTAAAATTCATGCTACAGCTTTCAAGTTAAGTGACTTTCTGAGAGAAGAACTCTTAGTTGAGTGACCATCTGAGATATTATCACGCGTTTTGGTTACCAAACAGATGGTCTCGGAGTTTGAACGCAGATGGTCTCGGAGTTTGAACGGAGAGTGTGAAAAGAAACAGGAGCTGAAACATAGTACCAAAACTAACCATTGGCACCAAAGTGAGAGAGCTCAGGTAGGAAAACATAAACAATTAGGAGATTCATTTCACTATCTTTTTAAATTAACATGATTGAGTTCATTTTCTGATCTTTTTGTTCAAACAAAAGTCGAGTTGATTTTTCAGACGATCACTCAACTTATAGTTATTACCTCAAAAAGTCACCTTTGTTGAAGAAAATTGACTTTATGAGATAATAACTCGATTAATTGAGTAACCATACGAGAAATCAACCCAACAAAGGTTTAAAACTAATTTCTGATTGCAGGTTTTGCTCGGTATATTGCAGTAATCTGAGTATAGCAGAAAATGCCAATAAGTTGGATGCTAATTGAGGGCTACTAAAATAAACCAGCAAGCAGAGGCGGAGTTAGAATATTGTATACAAATTTGAATGACTTCTGTAGCTTATGCTACTCGTATAAATATTTAATTGTGAACCCTGTTACTAAAACGAGCTTCGATTCGATCACAATCTTAGAACATGTAAATTTTAAATTTTGGTTTCGCCTTGTATTATAATAAAGAAAGATGGATGGATTTCCATTGGAAGTGTTATTTAGTGGTCTGAATTGGATTGAGAATGATGAGGTCTCAAGTTAAATTTTTGTAGAGAAAAAAATATGAGGTGGTTTCTTTTCATCTATCTAAGGTTTGGTGGACATAGATACTTGATACAAGTGCCAGTGGAGATAGTAGGTACCTCGTGCAATTAATCGAGGTGTGCACCTTCTGTTCTCGACAAAAAAAAAGCATCTTGGGTAACATTTGTATGTATATATTTACAACAAAGACGATTTCACAACATACAAATGTTGAAAACTAATTGATAAAACCACAAAAAGCAAAATTGATGACCTCTTTAGCCCCCACACAAAGGTAATGGGGATAAGGTCTGCGTACATCTGACCCTCCCCAAGTTCCACTTGTGGAATTACATTGGATATGGTGTCGTTTGGATATGGTGTTGTTGAAGGAAGGGATCTCTTACCGATATAAATAATGAACACATTTAGTCTTGCACAGCATACAAGTGGGGTGCCAACTCAACGAGCCACAAGTAATCGATTCTAGAGACATTACGGACATAACTATGGTTAGTATGAACCAGTTCATTGAAAACTATACACTCTGGCTTGGCTCGGAACAGGACAGAAGACGGGTGTATTTGCACAATCAAACCACTTAACGTCACCCTGCCAGTAGATAGTTAAAATGAATGTCAGATATGGGAACGAATAGATGATATGTCAAAGAACTCCAAACAGATACACTAATTGATGCCGGACTAATAAAGCCACTAATCTTAACCTGTATGCACCATCAGGCTGCTTCATAGCTGCTTTAAGAAAAAATGAGGCAGCAAGGCATCTGCGGAGGAGAAGTGTATCATCTTCACAAGAAGTGACGCGAAGACCCATTTGTTCAACATTCCTCACAATTTGACTGAAACATAGGTAGAAAGCTTAAGATTTTTCACTCACTCAAGGACCCGGACAAATGAGAAGAAGCGGCAAGTACATTATATAACAGTGAAATATGACGAGCATGAGCATAAGAATGTAACACATAAAAAAAGAAGAGTTAATGGTCAAACACTGAACGGTAGGAAAAGGGAACAACTGATACTTCAGATGTGTTTTGAGAAATAGTCGGTGATAGTTCAGTAGTAAAAGTGAACACCTGATAGTTCAAGTAAGAAAACTGGCAAAAACGTGAATGTGTGTGTTTTATCATTTTCTCTAAAAGAACTGTGGAGGTAGAAATAATCATAAAGCAGAACAGAATAATATTTCCTTGAAGTTGAAGTACATAATGCCTACCTGTGGATATCACGAGCATGTTTTAGAGAGCGACTGTTAATATAATTATCCTTGCACCATTTTCTAAGATTCTTTTCAGCTTTTTCTTCACTGTGTACCATCTTGTTCTTTTGAAAGAACTCATCAGCAGCACGGTATACATTAAGCAATGTCAGATGATCCCCCTCTGGACTTGCAAAGCTTTTCAATGCGTTTCGTGACTGACAACCACAGGTAAAATTATTCAGACTGTTTTCGAATTATATTACATGCCAAAATTAGTATAACACATCAACAAAGTCAAAGGTGACTGCTAAGTGGAAAGATAACACAGGAAAAAGAAAAGCCAATAACACGGGACGACAACAGTTGCTAAAACTGCACGCAAAATTCTTCTTCAGTCCATTCACCATTTCATGGCACCCTATTAGCTTGAACTTAACAGACAGATTTTGAAATTTAAAGAAAAACGAAACTAGAACAGCTAAAACGACATGAACAATTTTTTATCTACTCCAATGGTTAGATAATTTAAAATATTGAAGGTAAATTTTGTCGATCGATCGCCGGAATCAACATTATAAGAGTTAAGGGAAATGTCTCTCACGAATTCAAAAGAGGGTCGAGCTTTAAGCTCTACACCCTATTCATCAACTAGACAAACTTATTCAAAGCCTGTAAACTGAAAAGATTTATATTTGAATGTTGGAGCATGAAACTGATCTATGTCTCTTTAAATAAGTAATGGACCTCCTAATCTCATACTAGACAATATTATAATGCACGACTTTCAAGGGCCAGGAAACTGACGGGCATAGAAGATCCTAACCAAGACAGCTTACTTATCACCAGACAAGCTGCAAAGCTTTTAAATTCAGGCCCGTCTAGTGTTTCGCCAAAGATCTCCTAACTTTCTCCATAATGATTATCTGTAAGCGAAGCTTTCTCATGATCGGGAGATAGGCGGATGGTGTCCAGCAAAAGTATGTTTTTTTAATTAAAAATGGAAGGTTCAGTATACGATGCTATCTTAAGAGCTGGATGCAATAAAACAGTTTGACACTCATTGGACTTATAGAAAGAAAATATTTACTACAATCCTATGTACATGTTTTGGGGGGTGGGAGGTGGGGGGATGGGGGGGGGGGGGTAACAACAAGCTAGCACAAAGGACTACCTCTTCCAACTTTTCACGTGGTGCATAGAAAATAGATTCCACTGAAAGCATTGCAACACAGATCAACATTTCTTTCAAGCAGCCAAATTGGCTAGCAATAATGAGAGCCTTAGAGTAGACTGGATCAAGGGGTAGCCTGGCCATTTGACGTCCAACATCTGAAAGTTTATTATCTTCTGTTACGGCACCCAATAAGTAAAGAGACCACAATGAGTTGACTACAGCAGTCCTGTTAAAGAGAAGCAAGGAAGGAATTATAGTCAAGGATGAAAACAATAATTGCACGACAATATCCAAATTCTGAAAATGACTGCATAATCAGTAATGTGATAACGCATGCAGGGGGTGCAACGTTCTGCTCCATAAAGTAAAGGGCAGCACAAACGTTAAGCTGTTGTTGAGTATCTTGCTAGTTTTTTCTCTTCTTATAAACAGTCGGATCACTTAGTGGAGGGGGTATTACATAAGTTAGCTCTATAAGAAGAAGCAACGATTTGCCAACAAATAAGTAGATTTCATAGGTCTGATGATGCTTCAGTTTCACAAGGAAAGTGCAGATTTCCAATTATACAGATTTAAGTAAATATAGGATGGATGCTCTCCATTGTGCTTCATTAATTTAACAAAACATGAAATGGATTTTATACATAATATATGGTGAATTAAGTAAAACATGTTCAGTGAAATGATGCAGTACCACCATGCTAGAGATAGATACCAATTAATGGTCAAACACGTGCGACACAAACTTGAGTCATGCAAATAGGACAAAATATTGGGGGTTAAGAATTAATAGAAAGGCATCATATATGCTGATAGCGAAATATATATGCAAAATGCACTGAAAGACTTGTCTCTCTCATTTGGGTAATCACCTGTCTGGTTTTTCAATGAAGTCAAAGTTGATGACATCATCAATGCCTAGAGCCTTGAGCTGCAATACAACATTCGAGAGGTCACATCTCTTAATCTCGGGTAATGTAGAATCTGTAAGTTTCTCAAAGAAACTTTCTTGATATAAACGATAGCATTTCCCAGGTCCATCACGTCCTGCACGTCCACTACAAAAATTCAAGAAATTAGCCCTTGATCTGATATTTAACAGATAATATAACCAAAATAGTAAATGTCTGTTATCCATTTCCCTCCTGTATATATAAATCCTACTGCATTGGTTCAACTTCTCGATCACCATTGTCCCATGGATTTTACTTCAGAGGCTGCACCCAGGACTTTTTAAGTTTAACCTTGTCTCTATTTTTATTGTACGCAACTAAAGTATCTACCAGCTACCTCCTACTCCCCACCAATACAAGTACCGGATAACTCTGCCCGCCAAATAATAGGTACATGGAAAGAATACGCTACTTTTATCGATTGCAATTTTCAAATTTTAAGCTTCTATCTGTAACCAGAAAAAGAATCCTCCTCTACAATTCCTCTGCTTTGAAAAGATATTATGCTTACAATTACAATCCTCCTATTCCCTATGTTGATCTCATCAATATTATGTTGGCCCTTTGAAGTATATTAGTACCTAAGTGGCAGATACAGATCCAAGATAAAACAAAAACTTCAAAGCATAAGTACATCCCAGTACATATCCTTAGCCTATCCCACATGTCAAATATGATTAATGCAAAGTAAGAAGAAAATTATGGTTCAAACCACCATAATTTTTAAAAGTTGGACAAAAGATGCCTTTGAATGAAGTTAGTTGAGGAAAGGAGGTGATTTAGTCAATGTGTATTGAGACTTAAATGCACCTGGAAGCACCCTACCTCCTTTGAAGAGCTTGAGCTTTAGATGTTGTGACAATGATCAATGAATCAACTCCCATCTTAGGATCATATGTTCGGGCTTTCACCAGTCCAGGATCCACAACATACCTAATACCAGGTATTGTCACTGACGTCTCAGCAATATTTGTTGCTAGTATCACCTAAATATGAAATGAAAGAATTAAAATCTGATTTTAGTGGACATAACTTGCCAACTCAGAGCAATTACCAAATATTAAGCCTTGAAAACTTCATGTCAAGCATACCAGTGAAACTAGATAAAGAACTTATTAGCATTATTATAAACATAGCCAAATAATAAAAATGCACATTCACAATGCTAAGCTTTGTAACAAATACAAGGCTACAAGCTAGCACATAACCAAACTTTATTTACCTTGAGAAGATAACCAAATAAATGTTTCTATAGGTCAGGTATTAATTTCATATATATTTAGTGTGTAGGTAGAAGTTTCTAAAATTAGTACACAAAGGGATGCACCGGTATAAGCTCAACCAAAGAAAGAAAACATTGCATACTAACAACTAACCACCCATACGCACCTACCCTGGAGAAAAATAAATTGACCTTATGTTTATCCCCAACTGACATACAAGTGCAAGGATCCGGCACCTCAGAAGGTTACTTGCAATTTTTGTGGTGTATTTGGAGAATTCACGTGAAATACCCACACACCAAAGTGACACCCGCTGAACATAACCGTACAAGCCAAACCATGGCATCTACGTGGAATGCAGATATTTCTAGGACAATGATACTCATATGTACTACGTTAT